AAAAAAGTTCTTGCTGCCCTGGTTTACTTTACTATTTTTTTCTTTTCTTTTGATGGGGGGCAGGGAAGGGGGGGAGAGAGAATGAAGTCTTACTATGTAGCTCAAGATGGGTTCAAACTCCTAATCCCAGACCCAAAGTGAAGACACACGCCTTTAATTCCAGCACTCAGGAGGCAGAGGCAGGTGGAACTCTGCAGTCCACACCAGCCTGGTCTACACATTAAGTTCCAGTCAGCCAAGGCTACATGGTGAGATCTTGTCTAAAAACAACAACAAAAAGATCTTTATATCCCGGGCCCAGGTGATGATAACAATCTGAGTTTGCTCCCCAGGTCCCCAACAGTGGAAGGACAGAATAACTACTTATTGTCCCACTGTCCTCTGGCCTCCGAGGCAGGCCACGGCTTGTGCACACCCACAAATTGAGCATGGTGATGCATGCCTGTTATCCCGGCACTTGGAAGGTGGAGACAGGAGGACCAGAAGTTAAAGGCCGGACTGTTTGGTCATGACTCAAACAAAATAACAAATTCAACAGAAAAAAAAAAAAATCCCACAGTACCAAAGGGTACAGAATGAAAACTAAGCTTGCCTTCTCCACTGGGACAGAGTTCATCCCACTATCAGTAATCATTAACTGTTTCTTGTGACTCAAATTCAATCATCACCGGGCAAGCCCAGTGGACAGACAGGAATGGATGGTCCTGGACTACCCAGGCTGTCCAGTGTTTCCATGGGAGCCTCTGCCATGTAGTCCAGTCTTGTGCCCAGTATAATGTTCCCGTTCTTCCTCCTTCACTTGCTTTCTCTTAAACACCTCTATAATAGTACCTGTAGACTGGCCCTCTTCTGATCTGGATGTTTTGGTGACTATCCTTTGGAAGTGGAGGTTGTGTTATTGTGTCTGTTACAGTGTTATGTCTCTTTATGTAGCCAGATGTTTGGGTAGGGTTGGGTTTTTTTCTTCCTTCCTTCCTTCCTTCCTTCCTTCCTTCCTTCCTTCCTTCCTTCCCTTCCTCCCTCCCTCCCTCCCTCCCTCCCTCTCTCTCTCTCTCTTCTTTCTTTCTTTCTTTCTTTCTTTCTTTCTTTCTTTCTTTCTTTCTTTCTTTCTTTCTTTCTTTCTTTCTTTCTTTCTTTCTTTCTTTCTTTGAGGTATTTTCCCTACCAAGTCCAGGTTGGCCTTGAATTTGAGATGGTATTCCTGTCTCAGCCTCTGGGAGTGGTGGAATTCCAGGCCCCGCCTTTATCTTCTACCTCTGTTACAAACAGGGCTGCCCTAGAGATTACTGTAGTAAGCCCTTGTTGACATAGAGGACCTCAGGCCCTGTGTGCCACCCTCAGACTAGTGAATCTTGTAACTCTTGCTGAGAAGTTTCTTCTTGCAGTAAGTAGATGGCGATTAACACAGAGCCTCATAATTTGGTCAGCATACTAGAATGAAAGGCTGGAGTTCTCAGCCCTGAGTGGGATGTCTATATCACCTGTGCACCTTCAAGGTTCAGGGTTCTTTGAAGAATAGGGGGCAAAAAGAATGTGAGAGGCTGGGCTAGAGGGATAGCTCCGTTGTTAAAGGCTAGGCTCACAACCAAAAATATAAGAGTGTAAGAGACAGAGAGTAGAGGACTCAGGACTGCATCAGGGCATCTGCATCTATGGACCCATGACAGGGACAGCGTGCACAAGACCTGGAAAAGTTCAAGTCAAAGTTCCACAAGGTCCCACCCTTAACTGCAGAGCTATTGGCAGCTGGTGGCCACAGGAGAGGGAGAGTCGGTTTTCTTCAGGTAGTCCCACCTGAGAGGCTACAATTGCTCCAGTAGATGCCCCTACACCCACGCACATATAGACAGTACTAAGTGGACCTAGTAGGAAAAACAATATCAACGAAAAAAAATCAAAAACCAAATCAAACAAAAACCCCCTTGGGATTGGAGGAGAGGGAATAGGGTGGCCTTGATCAAAACACTTCACATGCATGGATACAACTCTCAAACAATAGAAAGATATGTATCTTTATTCTCCCTTTAGGAATACATCTTTACAACTTTTTTTAAAACTTATTATTTTTATTTTTTTGGTTTTTCGAGACAGGGTTTCTGTGTGTAGCTTTGTGCCTCTCCTGGAACTCACTTGGTAGCCCAGGCTGGCCTCGAACTCACAGAGATCCGCCTGGCTCTGCCTCCCGAGTGCTGGGATTAAAGGCGCCACCAGGGGCTGGAGAGATGGCTCAGAGGTTAAGAGCACTGCTTGCTCTTCCAAAGGTCCTGAGTTCAATTCTCAGCAACCACATGGTGGCTCACAACCATCTGTAATGAGATCTGGTGCCCTCTTCTGGCCTGCAGGGATATGTGCAGATGGAAAACTGTATACATAATAAAAAAAAAAAATCTTTAAAGGCGCCACCAACGCCCGGCTATTTTTTATTTTTAATGCTGGCTGTGGTGGTGTACTGTTTTAATCCCTGCAGAGGCAGAATCAGGAGGATCTTTGTGGGATCCAGGCCAGCAAGGGCTACGAAGTGAGACTTTGTTAAAAAAGTAAAACGAAGCCGGGCGGTGGTGGCGCACGCCTTTAATCCCAGCACTCGGGAGGCAGAGCCAGGCGGATCTCTGTGAGTTCGAGGCCAGCCTGGGCTACCAAGTGTGAGTTCCAGGAGAGGCGCAAAGGTACACAGAGAACCCCTGTCTCGAAAAACCAAAAAAAAAAAAAAAAAAAAAAAAAAAAAGTAAAAGGAAGGAAATAAAGAATGAAAGGAAGGCAAAGCAGCCAGGAGAGCGAGAATTGCAATTAAAAAAAAAAAATCCTTGTGAAAATCTGTCAAAGTTCTCTGATTCCTTGGCTGGACTAAGTATCCTAGGGCTTGGCGCTTGCCGTCCTAGAAGTCGGTTCCCACTGGAGGCTCAGCGCGGGCCACCTGTAGACAGGCACCTTGAAGCCTCCCGCTGCGTCACGGCAGAAGATGCCGGGCTGCCGGGCCCCAGGGGTCACTAGCGACTTTTCACTTGGCTTCTGGCCTCCAGAGTTCCAGGTTCCGCATGGTTCTCTTTTCCTTCTAGCCTGGGCTGGGCTGGCTCTGAGTCTTTCCTTTGCACTAGAGGACTGTCCACGTGTTCCCTTTTCGGAAATTCGCTGTAACACTTTAACGCCTGTATTCTCGGTATTAAGGAGGTTAGGGCAGGAGGATCGCCGAGTTCGAGGTCTACATGGCAAATCCAGGTCAGCATTGGCTACAAGGGGAGATCCTGTCTCAAAAAGCCTTTAAAAAAAAATCAAAACAAATGAATGCAAGATTTGCTTGTATGTAGCCCAGGGTGACCTAAAATTCTCCCCTTGCCTCCACCTCCAGGGATCCCAGGGAACACAGATCAGGGTCCTGTCTGTACCTAGAATTCGGACCGCAGCTCTACTAAAGAGCTCATAGTGGCAAAACAGAGGGCTCACAGAACCCCGATTTGCGGACAGTAGGAAGTGCTACTTGGTCCCTGGAGCGTTTGTAGGGGAACTTAAGGCGTGTCTGCCTAAGAGTTGGATAAGTTCCCATTTCAATTAGAAAAGCATGTGACAATGGCTGGCGGTGACGCACCCCCATGGCGCACGCAGGCCTGAGGGTGATCCGAGTGGGGGGATCTTGTCCCTCCAATCAAAAAGAAGGAAAAACCTGAAAACGTCCACGGGCCACTCGTGCACCACCTGCTGGAAAGCCATGGGGGACACGCGCGTTCCCAGCGAGGCTGCTGCACCGGATGCTTTGGAGTATCCTGCCCGAGCCAATTTCGCTGTCCTCTGTGGCCACTGCCTTCGTGCTGACTAATGCTAAGGGTCATCAGTGAGGGCTCTTCCGAAACGCATGTAGAAAAAAAAAAGTTTTGATGTGAAGAGGAAAAACAAAACAAAAACCAAGAAACTTTGTCACTTAGATCCCGGGTACCAAAGTCGCCAGGGAAGGCAGGAGAGGGGGTCCTCGGGGACAGAACTCGATCTGAGAGGAAGAGAAAGGAAAGCGAACGGAAGGCGCAGCTAGCACATCCTCTTAACCGCCCCGGAGGGCACGGCAGCCCTGGGGCCGTCTTTGGAGAGGTCCAGCCCTCCCTGTCAATTAGCTTCAGCTGGCGTTGCGATTGGCTGGTGGCTTCCTTGCTCCCCCGCGCCCACCTCCTAGTTGCATGGGGTTTACTTCCCCAAAGTACACGGGCCCCACCTTGTGGATCAACCGCTCCTGCCTGAACCGCGGGTTTCCGCCCAGAGGAAGCTATGTAAGCCAATGAGAGCGGGTGTGTACAAGTATTGGCCTGTCTGGGTGTCGCTCACAGGGCATCCCGCCCCCGTTTTCACAGCTCACTCAAGTATTGGTGAGGCTTCGTGTCCATCTGGGCTCTGGATCCCGTAGTCATAGGCAGATGCGGCAGCCACTCAGGAGCCCGGCCCCTGGACGAAGGCACCGTCCAATCGCAACCAAGGGGCGCGGCGGCGGGGCGGCCATTGGTCCCCGCGAGCGGCCGGGAGCAGCAGGTTGGGCTGAGCGCGGCTATATAGCTGGCGGCGGGCACGCGTGCCGCGGCATCGCGCGAGGGACGCCGCCACCTACTCCCGCGCTGCAGCCCGGTCCTCCCGCTCAGCCGCGCAGGTACGTGGGCCGCGGGTGGGGCGGGGCCGATGCGGGCCGGGCGGGAGCCGAGCTGGGGCCGCGAGCGGGGCGCCCGGGGAGGCCGCGCGGCGCGTCCCCACCCCCACCAACGGCCGGCGCGGCCTCCTGATTGCGCCCTGGGCCCCGCGCGTGGTGTGCTGCGCCAACGGCCTTATGGGGCCCCCGGTGGGCGTCACGCGGCTGGGTGGCCCGCGTGCTCCACGCACATCTTCCGGCGCGCTCCTGCTCTGCGGGTTGATGTAGCTGGGCCTGGATCCCAAGGAAGCCTTCGGGATCTGGGGATGGGGGTGGGGGGGGATCCCCACGCTGAGAGCGCGATCGCGCCTCCCAAGTCTGCAGAGCGGAGGCGCGGGACCCCGGGATCAAGGGTTCAGTGGTGCAGGGACAGTCAGCCGCAAGACTTTATCTCTCCAAATCCCACTGTGTGCTACTGCACTATGCTGAGGGCTTCCTCCTTTCCCGCCCTTCCCGGTCACCTGGGCGCGATCAGGTAGGTACAGTGACCTGGAAACGGAGGTGGGTGACTTGGACCAAGGCCCTCCGCCGGGAAGGGACTGTAGATTGCGTGGCTGCGGTACACCCTTGACCACTGAGCTCTTGAACCTGGGTGTAAACCTCAGCTTGAAAAGACCTGCGGTGGCATCTGTGCGAGCCGGTGTCGGACTCAGAACGAGGTTGCAAGAGAGGTTTTGAATGACAAAGGAGGACTTGGCTTTCTTCGATACTAGATGGATTTCTATTTGGAGAGTTGATAGATGCGCCTTTAGGTTAGCTTCTGGGAAAAATAGAGAAGAAAATACAGCCAGTGTAATGTAACGAACGAGTGTGCCCCTCAGCATGTCCGAAACGCACCTCGAGGTAATGGGAAATTCCCGCCAGCAGGAAGTCAGGCTCTGTCTGACACTAGATCTTGACTTTTCCAGATCCCTTTTAACTTTTAATGTTTTCGTTTTGAATCAGAGCAAACTTAGATTAAAAACCTTTGAGAAGATTATAGTTCAAGGAAACGAAAAATTTAAATTCTCACTGGAGTTGAGGTTAAAGTTTGAAATTGGATAGGACCCTGGATCTAGCTCAGAGGTGGAGCCCTTGGCATGGAATACAGGAAGCCCCAGGTCTACCAGAGCCACAAATAAGTCACAGCTGAAATTGTTGGGGAAAGGATGGTGTCCAGTGTCCAGTGATTGTGAATTGGGACCCAATCACTGATTGGATTTGTTGGCAAGCATAGCATTAGGTCTCCTGCCAAAACCATCTATGATCAACTCTTTTTCTTCTCACTGTGGAGCTCTGACCGGGGTGAACTCAGATCCTCCCGAGTGTAGGAGTTAAGGTGTATCCCACCAAGACCAGCTCAGCTATTTATTTTAGCCCTTATTTGGCTGGACTCCTAGAGTTTGCAAAGATGTTTTCAAAGATTTGTGATCAACCTATCTTTTTGTGTGCTGATTATATTTTTGAATGTTTAGGTCACCTTTACTCAGGACTTATAAAACATGTTATTTTGTAGATCCAAGTCATGGCAGATGTTTCCAACCGAAAAAAGACTACAACAAAAGTTGTAGTCTAGCTCTCAAGGCACACACCCTTGCCAAAAGTTAAAAACCATAGAAGTTCAATGTTGTGTTTCTATTTTCCAAATGAATACAAAGTGGCAATAAAGAACCAAACATGGTGAGGGTGAGTGCTGAATTTACTGGATTGCTTCTGAATATAACATTGTTTCCTTGGAACTTGCTCCAGTTAATCTGCAGGCAGGTAGGTGAATGTTAGTAATTCATTATATTAAAAAAAATAAGGTAGTGACCTGCCTTTAGCCTGGGAAGTTTGAGTCCAACTAGTTTTATTAACTGCTTGAGGTCAGATATATTAAGGTGAAATTATCTAAATGAGGGGAACTTTTGTTAATTTCATCCTCACGTGTTGGAAAGAGCTGTGCGCTTGGCCTCAGACAGATGGTTAGTAGAGCAGGAACGGGAACATACAAACTGACTCTCTAGCTTACTGTCAGAAAGAAGGGAGTTGAAGCAGTGATAGAAACCTTGGGCTGCTCCCTTCCAAGGTGCCCAGAGGCTACTGTTGTTGGAGTTACGTCGTCTTGTTTTGGGACAAGGTTTCTTGATGTGTAGGCCTGACCTCAGATCTGCCTGCCTCTGCTGGGACTGAAGGTATGTGTCACCAATGCCTGGCTGCATATGATATTTTCAATGAATGAGTTCAATGCTAACGTGTTTAATAGAAAGCTGAGAATTTGTGACCCAAACCAAGTTTTTTCTCGACTTTTTTTTTGTCAATGTAATAAAACTGCCTAGTTTTTTTTTTTTTAAAGTTTCAGTACTCACATAGAAGATATACTTCAATTATATCACATTGTTGACTTACAGAGGGGGTAATTGTCAAATAGGTAGCTCTAGCTGGGTCTAGTGATGCACACCTTTTAATTCCAGCACTCGGAGGCAGAGGCAGGGAGTTCTCTGAGTTCCAGGCAAGCCTGGTCTACATAGTGAACTACAGGCCAGCCAGAGCTACACAGTGAGACCCTGTGTCTCCCCCCCCCCATTAAAAAACGATCTGCCATGTCCCCCTTCCCCTGTAGCTGTCTCGGCTAGTGGGGGGACCTCTGCCCAAGCCCAGGAATTGAATAGATTTGGCAGCTGTCACCCCACTTGTAGTTAGTGACCGGTGTCCATTGGCTAGAAATATTGCTATTCTTAGTTTTTGTTTTTTGTTTTTTGGTTTTTTGAGACAGGGTTTCTCTATGTAGCTTTGCGCCTTTCCTGGAACTCACTTGGTAGCCCAGGCTGGCCTCGAACTCACAGAGATCCGCCTGGCTCTGCCTCCCGAGTGCTGGGATTAAAGGCGTGCGCCACCACTGCCCGGCTAGTTTTTGTTTTTTAAATGTGTGACTTTTTCTGGGAACATGAGTTGCTATAGCTAGGTGATAGGGTTAAGAGCTAGGAATACTTGTAATGCATGGTTTGCATTATATATAAAGCAGAAAGCTGCAGCCTAGGGAGGGAGGTCTTGGCTTTGTAGTGATGTTCTTTAGCATGTGCTGCATTTTAGGTTTAAAAAAAAAGATTAAAAGGCCAGTGAGGGGCCATGTGTCTTGAATTGGGGTACATCATTGTAGGCATCCGTTTCTGGTGGCTGGTCACTAAGTGGCTGCTTTGGTGTGGTGGACTGAAATTGGGACTTAATATGGACTCTCACTCAACCACAATCCCAGGTACTTCAGGTGTTTGAAAAATGGTCTCAGGGCCAGGCTTGGCTACATAGTCAGGCTAGCCTGGATTACATGAGACACTCGCCCCACTCCCATCTTCAAAAAATCCTGGCATTGTGGGATCCAAGGAGTAGGAACTGTTGTTTGGGATTGAGTGTAATGTACCTTTTGATCTAGTTAGATGTTCTATTTTGTGATACTTGGAATCAAACCAGAGCTAGGACCTGTGCATGTTGAGCTAGTGCTCTGCCCTTGAGCTGCATCCCTTTACTTTGGGGTGTTGCTGTCTAGCACAGGCTGCCTGGGCTCTTTAAGGTGTGGGCTGCCACACATGGGTTATAGTTCTCTGCTAACTTTAGAATGGGCAAGGGCTACTGCGGGAGAGTAAAGCACATTGTCCAGCTTGCTGGTACTTGTAGTTTTTCTTCCTGGAAAACTTAGTATTTGAGATAGTTTTAGATTTAGAGAGGAATTGCAGCACAGATCTGTGTACCTCGTCCTATGCAGTCAAATGTGTATTTCTCAAAACCAGTGAAGCTGGTGAAACCCTGTTGACATAGGCTTTATTTTGGTTCCTCGGGTCCTTCTGCAAATGTCCTTTCTCTTGTTTCAGGATCCACCTGAGGTGCCTCATCCCTTAGTCTTGTCTCCTTTATCTCTTCTCATGTGAGTTTCTGTTCTTTGTCCTTCACAACCTTGACACTTAGGATCTCATTTGGGTCTGTCTTATGACTGAATTGAGTTTATGGCTTTGGGTGAGGACCACAGAGGTCTGTACCACAATCTCCATGGCATCCATAGCACTGTAGCTCGTGGTACCTTGACGGTGTGGGGAGGGTGAGGTAGCATGTGTCAGGTTATTGTGTTTTCCTTCCTTTCCACTCTTTATTAAGTCCAGACTCTTAACTCTAGGGAGAGAATCTGAGTTTGTAGGCATATATACATATACATATATATATATACATACATACATATATATATATACATATATATATATGTATATATATATGTATATATATATACACACTAAGGCTGCTAAGATTTATGGCTTTTTGTGAGAAACTCTCACTCTGTATACCAGGCTGTTCTTCAGCTGCCTGCCTCTGCCTCTCAAAGACTTATGCCACCATACCAGCTGGGGTTTTGTTTTGAGATAGGGCCGCCTATAACCTAGTCTGGCCTCTAGTGCTCTCTCCCCCTGCCTCTGTCTCCCAGGTTCTAGGATTAAAGTGTATAGACTTCTGGTTTCGAAGAATGTTTTGAAGCCTTTTTTTTTTTTTTTTTTAATTTGTCTTGCTTTTCTTAAAGTTTTCCTCCTTGCCTGGCGGTGGTGGTGCACACCTTTAATCCCAGCACTCGGGAGGCAGAGGCAGGCGGATCTTTGTGAGTTCGAGACCAGCCTGGTCTACAGAGAGATCCAGGAAAGTCGCAAAGCTACACAGAGAAACCCTGTCTCGAAAAAAAGCAAAAACAAAACAAAACAAAGCTTTCTTCCTTAATTATTTTACCTGCTAGCTTATTTTTGTTTTGAGGTAGGATTTCTGTCTCCCAGGCTAGTCTTGAATTTGATCTGTTTCAACCTTCTGAAATGCTAAATCGCAGCACCCCCAGCTCCTCTTGTTAATTTTTATTCTTTGAGTTGTGCCCAGTACTATCTGAACTTTTTTTTTAAAACAGTTCCCCTGTGTAACCTCTCATGGATGTCCTGGAATTCACTTTGTAGGCCATACTGGCCTCTAAGATAGGGTTTTTTTCTGTAACTAAGGCTAGCCTTGAACTCACAGAGATCTGCCTGCCTCTGCCTCCCAAACTGGGATTAAAGATGTGAGACACCACTGCCTGGCTATCCTATCCAATTTTTAATTATTTGTATGTTAATGTTTTGTTGGTATAATCACCCCCCCCCCCCCATACTTCTCTTTCTGTGGTGTGGGCAATAAGCCCAGGGTCTTGGGTATGCTAGGCCAGCACTGTGACTTCGCTGTGTTCCCAGTCCTCTTTTCATTGGAGTTGCTTATTTTCCCTGCATGGTCTTGAACTCTGGAGCCTAGGCAGACTTTGAACTCGTGGTCTTCTAAGTAGCTGGGCTTAAACGCATATATACCCTGAAACCTGGCTGCTTCTCTGTTACTCAATTTAAAAGTATTTTCTTCCTTGCATTAATTAACTGGCTATTTTACCTGTTCAGCTTAAAATTAGCCTTTCACCAGGGATTGTGGCAGGTAGGGAGTCTAAAGAATTTAGGAGACAGATCACTTGCTTTT